TCGCATGCCACTACGCCCCGCATAGAGGAGTAAACTTGCAAAACGTGCCGCAAACTTTCTTTTCGCGTTCTCCTTCATTAATAAATGGACGCATAATTTAAATGCGTCTTGTACAAGATGTAAACCGGGAAAGTTGAGCGAAACTTCGGGGTACATGTTCCTCCATATACCTCGAAGATGAAAGCCATTTATATAAACACAGAGAAATGTTTCACGCACACATTCACGGAATTATAGATAGTTTCTTTCAGTCAATTACATTTATTCTTTCTCTGAATAACCTAGATATATATTTTTTTACCAATTAACCTTTTTATCAATTAACCCTGTCAGCCTCCGTGTTAATATTTAATAAACACATTTAATAACGTTCCAATTAACATTTTAATCTAAAGTTAGAAATCTAAACGAATTTCCGTTATAAATGTCGAAGAACACTTTTCCAAATGTCATAATAAATTTGCAGTCCGTTAATAACGTTACGATCTAATTTCGCCGCGGCGACTAAGCGAGAGCCGCGAGCTTTGCTCCCCTCGCAAGTTCGCGATTTGAGAACCATCGGATCGGACAAAAACCGACGGTTTTGGCGTGATTTCGGCTTGATGTATCGCAAGTCGCAACCGGCTGCTCAGACGCGGTCAGTTTCGCCCGAAGGAACGAGTTGTCCCTGCGGACAAGGGAGAGAAAGACCCACCCTCTGTTCCTGTCACTCACCCTCCCGGCTTACAGACGGGGAGAAGCCCGTGGGGGTTGCGGGCGCCATTCAACCGTAACAAAAGGCAATCACCATAGAAGTGGCGGCACTGGAACTAGCAGCGGTCATAAGTTATCGAAATCGCGTCGATATTTCCGCGAAACGAAAGTCCATCTGACGAGCTGGCAAAGTGAACAAAGACGCGAAAGTACATAGCGATTTGAGCTGATTATCATGTAACAGTTTAACAATGATGAATGCAAAATATTCGAATTTAACAGATTAATGAGAACTAACGACGAGAACTTAGTTAGGCGGTAATTAATAATGATGACTAAATTTTAGTAATTAAAAGCATAATTATTGCGTAAGTATGATATAATAGTTAAATGATTATAAATAACAACGAGACAGGTGAAATAATATAATTAAAGTCGATTTGGAAAAAGTTACAGTAATTAGTTCAAACGCAGTTGTAAAATGACTTAATAAACTAGCAAAAATATTTAGAGTCCCACAACAAACATAGCATACACTCGTTTTTACGTATAAAATAACACGCCGCTAGTTTTCTTTGTGTAACTCGCGTGCTTTGTTATATATATATATATATACATTTTTTTTTTAAGAGTATGTATTTGTCTCGCTCGTTTATTTCGGTTCTCTACTCATAACAGGTGTTGCCCGATTTTTGCGCAGTGCTCGCTCAATTGTTTATCAAGTATCGCGCTAACTACGGAAGCGCAGCAATCAATTGAGAATCTCCTCGATATAATCCCGATTGTTCCCAGGAAAAGCGATATGAGTTGTTTGAATTTTTACGCAGATATCCGTCATATTCGCGCGCTCTCTTTTTGCATCAATGTAAAAATTCGGATAAAGATTCGCCAGGTATTGGCCACACATACATTGGCACCGCACGCGAATAAATATCTACAAAAATCGGAAATGCCCGTCAATAAAATTATTAAAAAAAAAAAAAAAAAAAAAAATGCATACCAACTGAACCAACGATTTTGTATGGGTGAGAAAACTCTGAGAGAGGGAAGAGGAAAATGGTGTACAACCATCGTCAATTTCTGCATGTTCACTCGCGCTCAATTGAATGTGCTCGAAATATATATCGAGCGTCGTCGATGTCCGCTCGAAAATGCGCGAAACTACTCGAGAAGTTTCCGGATTAATTGTCGCTTGTTGCAAATACATGTTACAAAGAGATTTTCTACAAAATCACAGAATTTGTTGCACAACATACGCACCAATAACTCAAATGCAGATTGAATATTGTTTAATATTTATCATGCAACTTTACAGATAATTATTATTTCGCATAATGTTCAAGAGAGAAGCGATTGATATTTTAACGAATATTGAAATTAATTACGCGCACAACAGAGTGCCAGGGGACTTTCTCTGACTTTTAGCGAATTATACTAATTTTATCAATAATATTGTTCCCGTCTCCGCACAAAACGTGTATTGCAAAAGCTGTGTGATTCTTAACATGCGCATGTGCATGTAATTAATATTAAAATTCACAATAATAACAAAAACATACATCGCAATTAATTGTAAATTTAAATTTAGATTTTAAATTGTGTTCTATATTGCTGTTAATAATGATAAAATATTAATTATGATTACGCGTTGTCGTACACGTAAATAACAAGCAATTTATCGTCAGTCCGATCGGTAAGAATATATAAATCATCACTCGCGATAAGAGCCCGAAAGATTCTCGCCTGGCACGGCCCACGAAACAACCCAGTGTAATCTAAAACGCTTGGTTAAAAATTTCACAAATCCGTGAACTTCCGCCTCTTTCCGCACGAAATCTTTATACGAAGACGGTATGCCGTCATTATCTGAACGCGAAACATCGCAACGCGCCGAGGGAAAACAGCGAGAGGGTGGCCCGGTTGCATCGATCGGGGTTAATATCGGGGGGGGGGGAGTGCGAGGGAAGGGGAGGAGAAGGAAGAAGAAGAGAAAGGGTAGAAGAAATGCGGGGAGGAGGGCGGAGTGAAGCAGCTTACAAATTGCACTCTCAATTTTCGTGAGGAAGCGCCGGCTGGCCGGCGTTGCGAGCTGCAAAGCAGGTTTTATCGAGTGAAAGCGGAAACGAAGAAGGGAACCGAAAGGAGAAAGAGACCAGAAGGGTGCGAGAGGTAGAAGCGAGGAGGGTTGCAGGTCGAAGAGTGGACCATTAAATCGCAGCACCAGCAATTACATCGATCTAGCCGTGTCTGATGATGTTGATTTAAGTTCGAGGAGAGACGGCTCCGCGCGAGCCTTTCACACTCCATTTCGAACGCGCGCACGAGTGGATTTCGAGAAGTTTTCGAATTTTGTGAAGGGAAATTAAGCGCGGAATATCTCGCGCGAGGATGCGAGAGATGAAACGAGGGGAGAGGGAGGATGTGTTTTAAAATAAACATCGCACCCGAAGCGTATATAATAGAAGCGTTCAAGAGCTTCGTGAATTAGTCTACATTCACACGCTTCGATCTTTTTTTTCTATAAAGAAACAATTTAAAAAAAACCAATCTGTATAGTAAACAACTACTTATACTCAATTATTTAAATTCAATTCGAACGGAATTGATTCGAATCATTCGAATAAATTCTGTTCTTCTGCTTTGATCTGAGAAAATATTTTCGCGAAGAAAAAATTTTTTTTTTTTATCACGACATAACGAAGAGAAAACAAGCTACACCGATAAGAAGTTGAGATGCAATTACATGAATATGTAAAAAGACCAATTAGAATCGATGTCTTACCGTAACATTAAGCGTTAACTGCGTCGCTAAGCACCTGGATGACCTCGTCTCGTAGTTATCCCCGATTTTTCATTGCGTTCGCATAATTAAACTTTCAATGCGACGCGGTGGCGATCGCGTTTTTGCGACGGACACTTCGCGCCGGCAAAAAGATCGTTAGCGGATTCCAGAAGCGCTATATACCGATAGTTTATTGATTCTAATTTACCGGAAAGTCGTTATCCAACAAAACCCGATCGTCTCGGATTCGTTTAACAGTTATGAAGAAGCTTAACGGGTTATGGTGATTTTAGACATCAAATCGCAATAATGGGAAATTATTTAATATTTAATTTAATAATACCTCAAATCTTTAATTACCTAGCGACCTGATGTAAAGCAATTACGCAGTTTTTGTATATCCTACTGCTATACGAGAGCGTGTGTGTATGTGTGTGTGTATATATATATATATATATATATATATATATATATATATGTGTGTGTGTATGTATATATGAACGGCATAAAACTGGCAAACGACGCAAAAGTAGCAGCTCCGCTTTGACGAAATGCAAAATAAGATTCGCGAAGCAGATCCTTAACGGCGACATGCGCTGAACTTCATGCTGCCACGGAAACTGAAGGATTTCGTCGTATAATTAGACAAGTTAATTACAGCGAAGTACGTAATAAGCACTGACTTTAAATTAACTCCCCGACAACCTATACTGTAGTCCGTAAGTCGGAACCAAAGTCATGTTCAAAGTAAGTCTTTTCGTTCTATATCTACTTGTACTTGAGAATACTGATTACGTTACTATGATTACACCTTTCCGACATAAGGTCATACGATATATAATAAGTGATGAGACAATATAACAAAGAATAAGAGAATATCGCGCGCAACTCTTGTTAATTAGTCCGTTTTCACGTAATGTGTCAAAATTAGGGTCTCGAATATCGTTTGAGTATTGTTACAAATATACACGCGGTAAAATTAAGAGAGAGTAAGATAAAAAACAAAGACCGGGGTTAAAGTGTGCATGTGCGCAAAATCCGTTTTAAATGTTCACAATGAGTGTCAAGAGTACATAATGAGCAAAATAACAATTAAAATGCCGACTGTTAAGCGGCGGAACTAAAAAGTGTGCGTGTGTGCGTGCGTGCGTGCGCGCGTGCGCGTGTGTTTGAAAGATGGCATATTAATTAAAATTCCCCGTTAAATACTGAAAATAAAAATAGAGCAAGAAAAATAATAGGATAAAAATTACTATGTAAGAAGAGTAATTAAACTTGACGCGCGGACGATCCGAGAGGATAAATAAAATTCCGGACGTCCCGTTCCGTATCGTGCACGCACTTTGACGCATTAAGAACTCGTAAAAGCGTCCATTACTCAGACATTAAACATACTCTTGGCACTTACGCGCACTTCTTGCTTATGCACAAGCTAAATTTTGAGCTAATTTTACCTCGGAGTCGCCCGTTCTCGCGGAATGGTTTCGATTAATTGCGTCGCGCGCCGCCAACATTGCTCGCTTACCGTTATCTGAAACAAAGAAGCAAAACACAATCAATTTAACTACGTATAAATATATGTATAAAAACGATTCTCGCGAAATATTAATATTAATTTTATTTTTAACAGGATAAGTGTGTCGGTTTTTTTTTCAATCGCATCGAATTTCTTTACATGTCTGATAGAATAGCTTGTTGAAACAATTTGCAACTGCATATCGCGATCCAATAAACTATTTTTGCCAAGAAAAAAATGATGGTTTACATTTACCGAAGAATTTGTAGTCGAGGGCAAATGATATTGACAAGAGCAGTTCGACAACCTATAAATTCGAAAAATTTGATATACTGCGCAACTGTACGAGCTCACACGCAAACCTAAAAAACATAACTTTTCTATTGCGGCGGAAAAAACAATTTCATGAGAGAGAAAAAAAGAGAGAAAGAGAGATGTAACACAATATTACGAAGTAAAAGTCCAGGTTTTAAATGGTTTTTATAAATATCTGTAAATCTACAAGACATTGAATAGAATATTTTGAATAAAAATCCTATTTCTACTTGCAAAGAAGAAAAAAGAAAATAGCGAACAGTAGAACGTAGTCGGATAAAACATAAATTTTAAACTTTCTTTGTGAAATTCAACTTTTATATGTGTCTCATAATATGCCAGTCCATAGTTTGATTACTATGCTGACTTTCGTCGATTACTCTCTCTCTCTCTATCTCTTTCGCGCGCGTTATTAAAAAACTGGTGAACGCATTGCGCACAAGGCACTTATATCACACGAGTGCATTTTCATCGTGATGCACTTGGCGTATCGATGCCGCTACGAAGTGAGTTTTTACGCGGCTTTATGGCGCATTTTTAGTGAGGGTTGGGGAGGCTTGTCTTGCGTTACATGTTCGTAAGTCGACGGTATACGGCGTCGGATAAAATAAAGTACGGTGCACTTTAGTCGATGAAGACGAAACGCAAAGAAGAACTCGCGGCGATGCGGCATCGCGATGTACACATTGACGATTCTCGATATACGCTTTTCCATTTAAATATTGATTACATTACGTAAATGACATAATCACCATTGTATAATTTATAGCGCATGCCATATAAATTTTTTGAAGTCCATATTTTAGTTATACGGTGTTATATCTTTTTAGTGGAGCTTATTGGTTAAAAGATCCATGTCAGCGTTTTATAAATTGACTTTTTTTCAATACAAAATAAACGCTTTTATTTCCCTTCCTTTTTATCTCTCGCCTTTTCTGCTTACTTTATTTTTGCCATTTATCAAAACTTTTTTTTTTGTTACACATTAGTAACGTAAGTGAAAAAGGTTCTGTTTGAGTTGGGCAATTTTCGCTTCGATATGCGGCTTTGATTTTGTAAACGCGCGGATGTTTTCGTTCGTCATAATAAAGCAAGCGTATAATGCAACGCGGAATTGTGCAAAGTGAGAAAAACGAGAATACGCGCGATATACATCCGCGCTTTTTGATAAAAAGCTTACGCGTTTATTTTAATCGAACCGCGAGATTGCAAGCGCTGGCGCACCGAGCTATCAAGTTACCCGCAAAATATTAAATGCAACACGTATATACATAGCAATCGCACATCGATGATTCTCGTTACTATTGTATTTATTTTTACAGCAGCGCGAACAGAAACGTCTCAGGTCGCAAAACATTCTCAATTACATACTCGTTAAACGGAGACAAATAAAAACGAAGAGACTTTTCCCGGGTATTAAACGACGCGACACGTCTAAATTTTGTCCGTAATATTAAGAGAATTAAACGGTGGTTTGTATTATTTAATCGAGAACTCTGATCCGCGCAATTGTACCACGATTTTCCATTGCGAATGATGAAACGGATTTCTTCAATTTCGGTTATTTGCAATTCAGACACGGACGTCTTAGATCGCGTTTGGATAAGACGCATGCAAAAAGCAGTATCTATTTGCGTCAGAACGCTCTCGCCAGACCAGAGGGCAAGCCTCGAAGGTAATCCTTCCACTCGCTCGCTCGACTAGAGAGAGGTGGGATGGTTCTTCTTCACGCGCGTTTACAAGGCGGATCGTATGCAAATCTCTAGCGGCTTAATTACGCGACACGCCTACTATATGAGGTCTCGGATCGCACGTAACGCGAACCGGAAGCCGATATATCTGGCCGACACGATAAGAAGAACCTTCATTTGTAGATCAAACCGCTAGCTCATTCGCGGATCCTTGAACGCCGATCAAAACTACCGAGAAAAAATCGAATACGCGGATTAATTAATTCTTGGACAAATATAGTAACAAAATATTATGTCGCAATTGTGTAGATAATTTATATATTTTACACGTAATATAAATTCTCTCTCTCTCTCTCTTTATCGCGATATTTTAAATTCTAATATAAATTTTATCTTCTAGATATTTTATTATCTTTCATTCACATTTTTATCAGATAAACAAGTCACGATACGTGTAATCTGCTGTAAAACACGGCGCAATAATAATAACAATTGAAAAACATATTTTGCACTATTAGTACTATCTTTTCCACGATCCCACCCTGTATATAACGCTGTCACGTAATGAACGTTCCCGAAGCATCACATGCAAATCTTACATTTATCTTCCTCTTTCCGACCGGCTAATCCTTGGCGAGTGGCTCGTTCTTTTCAAAGAGAATAACGTTTAGATTTCCATGACGCAACAATATTTGCATTTTCGCGACGTAACGCCAAAATACACGAAAGAAAGGCGACGGCGAAACAGAATAACAAATCACACCCGGATACTCCGTTTTTAATCCTTTCCGCGCTACGGTAAACTGTCGGGAAAACACGATGAAAACAGAACACTGCGAAGTTCAAATGCGATTTGCATATGTTTTCCCGATACACACGATCCTTTCAATAGGATATAAATCATCGTATCTTGAACAGACACTACCTGCTTGCTTACGTAAGATAATGTTACTCCGATCTAAATTGCAAATGTGACATTTAAATAAAGAAAACTTTTCTCGCACGCACATACGTATTTTTCTGTACGTATGCATGTGTGCGTGTCAATTTTCCGTACGTTCACGTATAGATAGCATTGTTTTTTCAAATAAATGTCTTGGTTTTTCTCTCGCAATCAAAAACCGATTTTATCGCGCGCGCAATAAAAATATGTCAAATGTAAATTACCACTAAGAGTTACATATGTCGCAAAAAAACTATCGCTCTACACTTTTTGAATAATGTCTCTCAAAATAAATCGCCTAATAAAAAGTTATCTGCATCTGAGATTCTATCGAATCTATTTGATGATATAGACCGAAGTCGATCAGGTACGCAACTAAAGCGCTGATTAAAAATTCTTGAAGAGCGAGTGCAAGCGCGAATGGAAGTTCGCGCGTAAGCGATAAAGTTTTAATCCACGGCGAGAATAATGGAATTTCGGGGGGAAAAGTGCACTTTTCCTTCTAATTTTCTCACTGGGTGCCAAATTGTCGCGCGATAATTTCAACTTCCGGAAGCTGCGAGCTTATCGGATGCGATTATCTTCGTAACTCAGTCAACGAAAGAGAGAGAGAGAGAGAGAGAGAGAGAGAGAGAGAGAGAGAGAGAGAGAGAGAGAGAGATCTCGGACTTAGGCCTAAAGAGAGATTTTCACGTATATTTTACAAATATCACGTGAAAGATAACCGCGGGTATCGTTTTTTTTATAGATAATCTTTGTATATGTACATCATATAATTGTACATGTTAATCGTTGATTATGTGTATGTATTGTTACATGTTAATTATTAATCAGCAATGACGAAAATGAATACGTAATAATTATTCATGTAGATACTAATTTAATACGCATTAAAAAACTAATATCGAATATGTATTATTGGTAACAACACTGACAGCTAATTATAAATAATAAAGTAGGAAAAGGTAATAACATAATGTAATGCGTGATTAATGCATCATCATCAACAATTGTAATCGCCATAATTTTAATATATTCGATATGAATGCGTAAATATTTCAATATATATGTATTGTACATATATATTATATATATTTATATATACATATACACACACACATCTAATTTATCAGGTTGTATTAGTTAAAATACATCTGCGATTTTTTATCGACGGACGTGCTTTTTGTTTCTAACAACAATGGAGTTGCGAACATTTGAAGAATGTTATGTGCGGCATAAAGTTATATACCGAGTACCCGGCCGAAACTGTTCGCTTAATAATCTAGTAGCTTGATCCCTGCAATAATTTCTTGGACGCGGCTGTGGAGGTCAGATCTTAATCTAATAAATGTACCACGAATGCACTGCCATTATTTCTCGTAATTATCTCCGTAATAACGTTCCTATTGTTGAAAAGAGACTTATCGCGGCAAATGTATGATCACGCAATATAATATGCACTACCTCTCTTTATATGACTTAAAACTGCAATCGCGAAGATAATAGCAGCAAAACAGGAATGTATTACGCGTAATTCGAAGAGAAGCGATAACAAAAATACCAAATTGTAAATCATATTTGGTCAAATGTCGCGAGAAAGTTTCTGATGAACATGTTAATTAAAAAAAAATATATACCACGCGACTAAAATATAAATAGATCTTAATGAGCACAATTTATGTAGACTTAATCTAGTATTTCGATTGGATATAATCGATGAAACGCGGTTACGATTGGCTTGATTTTAACCGCTTTTCCAAATATTGCAAATTACGTTCGCAAACAGTTGCATGTATAGTTACTTAAAATTAGTTGAACAAGCTAAATAAAATTAATTAAAGTTAATTACAAGCAACAGCTTTACTCGTCTGGCAAATAACAAGGGAAAGTCTATTACGCATTGCCCCGTTTGTTGTTAACAAATTAGCGGCGCGTCATATTAACTCCGAAAGTTCCGGCCTTGTTACAACCCGCGCGCACTTTGTTGTTTGTTCAAACGCCGTTAACGTCGATCGCGCGAAAAGTTGCAAACAAATCAACTTTGCAAAAGCTTCGCGATGCAATTT